TCTGGAAACCTAAAATGTCTCCCTCTATTATGGTATCACCTTTCTTGTTTTCATCTATTCTTCCCCCAACTCAACCTTTCTGCTCCCTCATGTCCTCCTCACCCCTCCTCTTCTCCCCTTCTCATTCTCCTAGCTCCCTCCCCCAACCTCCCTTGCTCCCAATTTGCTCAGGATATCTTGTCCCTTTCCTTTTCTCCAGGGGACCATGTATGTTTCTCTTAGGGTCCTCCTTGTTTCCTAGATTGTAGTACAGCAAACATTTTCATCAGCACAGGCCATGCTGAGACAAAACAGTCAACAGCCACTCTTGCCTGAGTCTTAAGCCAGCTAAGTACAAAGAGTATAACTAGTTGAAGAATTCTGGCGGCAGCTTTGTCCAAATACTCTGTGGATGGGACTAGAGTGAATGAGACTGAAGAAGGTCCAGACCTCTGTATTCCCAATGTATAGATACAGGATTAAGACCCAAAGCAATTGATTTTGGATTTCAGTAAACAAAGCTGGTAAATGCTGCACTTAATCTTTCTACCAGCAGATATCTGAAGCAACAGGAACCAGAGTAAATAACAGAAACCACTTTCTGTTTTCATTGTCTGTTATAGCCTGAAATACTGAAGGTCATTAGATCACTTACTTAGATCACATCAAACCTATCTAGAATAACTTAAACATAATGCATCCCTTAGTATTTTCCCTTACTTTTATTATTAGCATTGTTCAATAATATATGAACCTTATGATTAAAGATAAGGAAATCTTGAAGATGCTCACTTGAATCTGTTTCCAAGAAACATTTGCAGAAGTGGCATTATTGAATTGAGTATGCCCTCCCACCATTTCTGCAGGTCAGCGTGAGATCCTTCCACCTGTCCTAAATGCAGAAAAGAATAAATTGCATTTTCAGTCCTGTGGAAATAATTATATTTTCAAGGTCACAATCAATCACCATAAACTCAGTACCTCTCCCTTGGGAGAAGAAAAATTTAAAACCCTGATGTATTATTTTTGTCAGTTTGAAAAAAAGCTTTTCCAACTGACATGGTCAGTTATGAAACAATCTACATGGGAGAGAGTCACTGGACTCTATTGAGTCTCCACTCTTGTCTTTGTTTTAGTAAATAACAGCAATCATGAAAATGACTCTAATATATACAATTATTATATTTGTTGTACTCCTTTATATGTAAAGTACTTTAGATTTAAAGTACTTTAATTCAGGGTCTTGCTTAATTTTGAGAGGCATCTTCTGAATAAAACAATAACAATAATTATTTATATACAATAGAACTAGATAGCACAGGAGATTTAGAATATTCTCCAGGTAAGCCAGTTAATAAGTAGAAGAATTAGAAATGAAACTCATATCACAATGACTGCAGATATCATAATAAAGGAAGATCCATGCAGCGTGTGACATGTCTGAATTTACATAAACAAAGCTAGACATTTTAAAATTAGCATACACACTACTAGTCATCATTATCAAATTTTCAACAAAACCTTGTCATCTCACCATCCCCTATGGATCTCTCTACCTTGTTTTCTCCCCTCTGACACCTACTCCATGTGTAGTGTATCTTCTTTGCAATCTCTTGGTCTCCTCTCTATTTTCTTAGGCATTCATTAATTTTATTCATATTTATAAACATGCACATATACAATAAAATCTTTATATGAGGGATAACATATGGTATTTGAGTAAGACTTTTTAAAAATATGAATCTGCAAACAGAATAGAAATAAATATAATTCCTAAATCTGTTGATACTTACTTAGTTACTTCCAGAATCATCACAAATTTACTCACCTTCAAGTGTTTCTGTTCTTTTAATACAAATGCTGAATATATTTACTATCACAGAGAACCAGAGAGAATTTCTCACTTAATCTTCAAGGAGACAATGACTTGCATGCTCATCTGTGTTGTTTCATTCACATCAGTGGTTTCTTGTCACTGACTCTGGATTAATTGGGGTGTAGATTTCATATCATGAGTTAAGAAAACAGTCTCGAAGAAGCTGATGTATCCCAGAAAAACTGAATGACACAGGGCACAGTGAAACCAGACCAATCATCTCCAGTAGGTTGCAAAGTTTGGAGCTGTTGGGATGGTCTGTCACAGCTGACTTGCAGGCATAGAAGAATTTCTTTGGTGAAGGAGCATAGAATGTGAACATTAAAACAATTGTGTTCAGCAGTGAGCCAACTGAATCAACTTCCCATGAACTGTGCATCTGTCTCTGGTGACCCACCTATTGATTTGAAAGCTCTTGGTAAAGCCAGTGGCTTGGGTGTTTGAGGACACCTTGATGAAACTAATGATAAATTCCGAAGCATGTTTCTACCAATTTCACAAAAATGTACGTAAGATATTCAAAAGTTCTCATATATACTGGCAAGATCTATTGACATCTATTTTTTTAGGTTGGCTTTACTCAGTCTTGACTTTGTTCTCAGGAAGACAAAAATAACTATACTGAGGAGCTTATACTCCTCAGTCTTCCTGTGATTTTGGTTAAAAAAAAAAAAGGAAAAAAAAACCTGGGGAGCATAGTGTAATTGACAGTCTGTTACAATAAGCAAATCATTGAAACTCTGTCTAGACACATCTCCACTGGCCCATACCTGGAGTCAAGATACAGAAACACACTAAGTAGGGAGAAGTTAGGCTCTCAAGTACAATTTAATGTTGTAAATAAAAGTCAGAATATGTGATGGTTAGGCACAGGACAATGGGATGTTCTACAGATGACTAAAGGTAGAGTACTTACTGCGTGCTAGGAGCTATCAAAACTACTTTATATCTACTAAGTAGCTCTAATAATAAGGTATTTATAATGTTATACTCTTGAAAGAATTTCATAGAGAAGTTGAGCATCTTCTGAAATATGTATGGAATGCTGATTTACTTGCTTGATATGAGCATAGGAGCTGCCTTTGTCCAGCAAGATGAGACTGTAATGAAGTACTAAATGAGAAATAAAATTTGTGGCATATGGATATGCCAACTCTTGAGCAGTGAATAGAAACCAGTCTAAGAGAAAAATAATACTACACATAAAAAGGAGTAGACATCTGAAAGCTGACAAGAAGTGGGGGGTGAAGAGAGAGAAGGAGGAATCAGGAGGGGAGGAAGAGGAAAGAGAAGCTATGATAGAAGGAAGATAGGGAGTGGATTGGAAAATTTTGAGAATAGAGGATGAAGGAAAGACAGGAAGAAAGATGAGGAATGGAGGAGACATGAGGGGGAACGGAGGAGAAGAAGGGGGAAGGGGAAACATTTGGAACAGATTGAACAAGAACTCAATTACTTAATCTGATTTATCCTATAACAGTTTCTCTGATTGTTCCCTCTTGTGTCCTCAACTATATTAGGTGCACATGATCTCTTTTAAGACTCCTTATAAGAGGACCAAGTTTCTAAATTGGACTTTACAATTAAGACTAACCACCCTTGAACACTTTATCACCTAGTACATAACTATGATAAAGATTTCAACATATGAACTTCAGGAGATGATAGAATAGTTGTTTTCCTGCCCATAATTCAACAATTGAGCCAAAAGGCTGTAATGAATAAAGGTTTGTGTTCTACTAAATGGTCTATGCTCAGCCTTTAATTCCAAAGTGGTGGTATCTAACATATTACCCTGTTGGGTTGTGTGAGGCATAAGATGCAGACCTAGTTCCTTTTGACTTCTACATTCAAATTTTTTCCTAACTTCCTAGTACACCTTTGCTGTGTCTTTCTCACACATGGGCTTTAATGCATTTTCCAGATCCCAACTGCTGTGGTTCCAGAGAACTCTAAAGTAAACCCTATTTTTCTTAGCATGTGAAGCATCTTTAATTTATCCATAAGTACTGACTAGATTAATAAAAAGAAAGATGCCTGGCCAAGAGCTAGGCAGGATCTCCAGGCACAAAGGAAACAGGAAAGAAGGAAGGACTAGCAAGCCGGATTTAGAGAAAGCAGGAAAGCAACATGGGTAGTACAGAATCTACATAATAAAGCCATGAGGCAGGAAGTATATTAAAAGAAGTGGGTTAATTTAAGTTGTAAGAGCAAGCCTAAGTTACTGGCCAAGCTTCCAGAATTAATAAGAAGTCTCTGTGTCATTATTTGGGAGCAGGCTGGCAGGACAGAGGAAAGACTGGCTACAAAGAGGCTGTGGATCATGAGCATCCCATGGAAATGTGCATATAGATTTGATGCATACCTAAGCCAGGAACAGAACACCATATGACTGAACCACTATAATTGTTAGAGATTTTTGCTGTTCGAAAAACATATTTTGGAAGCCCACCCCCAAATGTCCTCCAGAACATATGTGTAGTAAGAAGGTTTAGATTATTTATTCTGTTCTAGAAAGAGGGAAAGGTATGACCCAGGGAAAGCTAGGTAGAAAGGGATAATGGTCATAAGCTTCCTGCAATAGTCAGTCAGCCTTGCATTACAGAATTCTCAGGATAGTGATGGATGTGGTAACAGTCTTGATTCAAATACTATCAAAAAGTGAAAGAACATTTACATCAGGCTTTGTGTAATTTTTCAGGTCACAAAGAACCTTTTCTATATTTGGTATACAAATAGTCAAAGTGGCTGGGGTCTGCCTTGTCTGAGCATCACTCATCTTCTGCTGGGAATGCCACAATCTGGATTCTGCTTTGACTTTGTCAATGGTTCATGATGGAATGACTAAATGAGATTTCCCTTCTTAAACTTAAATCCTGTTTTGTCTCTCTTATCTGATCTTGGGATACAGTCTTCTTAATATTTTAATGTGATAAAATTATTATAAGAGATTGAGAGTGATTTTATAAACCTATTTCATTAGGTTTTTGTAAAAATTAAATGAAGTAGAATACTTGTTTTCTAGTATATTATCTGGCATACACTGAAAACATAGTCACAAGGTACCAGTGAACAAGACCAATGAAAATCACTGGCAGGACCCGACAGCGCCTGCACCTGTGTGACGTGTGACGGCCGCACCAAGAGTGGACAAGCTGGAGGCGCTGCGGAAGCAGAGGCTAGCAGAGCTGCAGGCCAAGCATGGGGATCCTGGTGATGCAGCCCAACAGGAAGCAAAGCAAAGGGAAAAAGAAATGAGAAACAGTATCTTAGCCCAAGTTCTGGATCAGTCAGCCCGGGCCAGGTTAAGTAACTTAGCACTTGTGAAGCCTGAAAAAACGAAAGCAGTCGAGAACTACCTTATACTGATGGCATGGTACGAACAGCTAAGCGGGAAGGTGTCTGAACAAGGTTTAATAGAAATACTTGAGAAAGCCAGCCAACAGACAGAAAAGAAAACAACAGTTAAATTCAACAGAAGAAAAGTGATGGACTACGATGAATACGACAATTACTAGAAGAAGATGCTTAAACAGACTTTCGGAACAGTGTCTAGGGCAGTTACAACCTTTCAATGTTTGCTTTGTTCATTTTCTATGTGTCTTTTAAAAAATAAATTTGTTACTCAAACTAAAGCAGTTTGGGTGTTTCAGAATCACAGGCAACTCACAAGAAGATTTTGTTTTGACTTTTAAATGTTGGCAGTCAGTGCAAGTTATCCATTGCAACTGGACATTAACATGAGGTGGAGGATTAGAAGCTGTTCAGCCAGAGACATCCAGGGACCAAAAACCCTGGGCAACAGAGTCAGCTTTCAGATCTGAGCACATTCAGCATTCTTCAGGCAGAACTTGCAAAAGCAAGGACATGTCCTTTTTCTGCAGATAGCATTTCAGATTCCAAGCTTTTGAATTAATTACTTTTCAGAAGCCTTGAGTTTCCATTATCCAACAAATATCACTCTGATCCAAAACAACTAGAGCGTTACTTTCTCAAAGTAACTAGAGCATCCTTCGGAAACTGTTGAACAGTGACGTTTACAAGAGGAGCAGGCTGGAGGGATGGTTGACTACAGACGAGCACAGATTTCAAGTTCTCTCTCAGCACCGTGTTGGGCAGCTCACAACAGCCTGTACCTCCAGCTCCAGGGGATCAGACACCCTCTAGTCCCAGAAACCTCCACATGGAACCATTATAAGCGCACACACACATACCTGATAAAAATAAATTCTAAATACAAAAAATGAAAAAAGGGAAAGAAAATCACTTCCAGGTAAAACAATATAATGATTAGCTTTAACCGTCTGTTTGACAAAGCCAAGAAATAATTGGAAAGAGGGTGTCAATAAGGTACAGTCTACATTGGATTGGTATTTAGGATACACTTGTGAAGAACTGAAATAAGAGAAACACCTTGATAGTGATTTCAAGAGATAGTTTCATCCCCACTACACCGATGTATATTTAGGTTTTGGTTAGAAATAATTGATTGCACTGAATGACCTCTGGATATCCTTGCCAGCATTAAAGTTGTAAGGAACACTGAAATATTGAAAATTTCATTTTCTGTAAGGCTCAAATCCAATCACCCTTAAAATTCAGTGATTCTGATTTTAGTAAGAAATGTCAAGATCTTCCATTGACCTTTGTTTTCCAGGATTTGTACTTGCTGTATTAATTGAAATTTAATATCCTGATGACTATAAAAGAATGTCACACACAGGATTGTTTGTGTGTGGAAATGTAATGACTAATATTATTAAATTGACAGAATTGAGAATTATCTGGGAGAAAAGACTCAGGGGGAAGATTTGTGATGAGTCATCTAGATTATGTTAACTGAGGGAGGAAAACCATCCTCAGCTGTGGATGGCACCATCCTGTGTGCTGCAGTCCTAGAATGAATGAAAAGAGAAAGAGAGGTAAGCACTTTATTTAGGATCTATTCTTCTCAACTACGAATGCAATTTTACCAACCACTTCCTTCTGCAACCATATCTTCCTTGCCACAATGGAGTATATCTCATAGGGTCATCAGCCTAAAGAAACTTTTCCTTTCAAATAAGTTGTATCCTGAAAGACGTTTGATCACAGCAATAAGACAAGTACCCAGACAATTCAGTGCCCAGAATGCCACAAACTCTCAAAAAACTAAAATCCAATCTTTTCTTTCCCATTAGCTTTTGGATGAACTTATTCAAGCCATTCAGATTCAATCAAGTTTTCTAAGACACAAAGTAAGAATTAGCAATACATCCTCATGAGAAAAGTATAAAAAAAATTTAGAAATTGTAGTTCAGACATGTTAGATATGCAGAGCATTTTTAGCAATTTCCAAAAGTCATTTCAATAGTGTCTGATGATACAAGCCTATAATCTCTATTTCTTTGGAGGCTGAGGCAGGAATAACATAACTCCATGACATGTCAAAGGCTACTGAACAATCTCAAGGCAAACCTGAACAACACAAGAAAGAACCTGTCGCAAAAGGAAAAATAAGGCTGAGGATAAAACAGCTTCATGGTACAATGGTAAAATACTTTCATGAATATGGAGACCAAAGTTGAATTCTCAGCACTAGAAAGGAGGAAGATAAGATGAAGTTGCCTGAGAAAGAGGAGGAAACAAAAAGCATTTCACTTTATGAAGTATCCTGGTATACTGTCTTATCAACAGTCCATCTGGATAATGGATAGTTACAAGGTTCTGACTAGCCACCATTTCTGCTATATTGAAATCAATAGAGCTTTTAAACTTTATTGATTTCATCTCAGATTTAGTGGCCATTTTATGTAAAATACATTGGAATTGAGCTGAAAATATATAATCATACCCAGTTCAATGAATTTTGAAGTAAAATTGATTTAAAGAATATTTTAGGGAAAATAACATAAATATATGCATTCAACTGTTTTCCATGTTAAATATTTACTGTGTAAATTATAAAAACAGTTTTAATAGCAAATATCCTTTCTCAAAGAACTGCTTCATAGCAGAATTTGTCCCCACATCATGATTAGTTTTCAGAATAACTATGATATAGTTACATCTAGCTACATTTTTCTATAGAAAATATGAGGTTAAAAACATAATGTAGCTGAAAGAACTAGCTATGCACCCAGGTGTAGCCGATCTGAAAGTTTCTGCAGGGTCCATGTGACATCATTCCCTTATCTTAAAATTTATCTGAGCTGGCAGAAAAGGTGAAAACATGGTTAGTGCTATGTCTTGAATGTTCTTCTTTTCATCACTGATACAGTCTTGTATGTCTATGTATGCTCTTGTCAGTCTCCTTTTCTTAAATCAGAGCTTGCCTTGCTGTTGTTGGGAACTCATATTTTCTCACAGAAGAGTTCTTGAACAACTTCCCATTTTTACATAAAGCTTCAAGTAAAATAAATTACTCCTGTTTTTGAACAGGGGCCACAACTTCCTTAGCTAGGAGACACCAAATATACCACAGTTCTTGTGAAAGTGAGTCTGCATTACATCTTTTGTTCTTTATGAACTTAACAAACTGGTTCCTGAATTCAAGCAAGTGAAAAGGACCCAAAACAGTGAAGTGAAATAATGTAACAAATACAATTATGTGCTCTTCCAGATATTAAGGCATACTACAATTTTTGTTATGTAAGTTTGGGTGTTACAAATACAATGTTTACAAAATGGCAAAGTATATAAATCAGACATACCAGAAATAAAGTAGTGATAGTAACAAATAGTAATATATGGATGGCAATGCAAACAAGAGAGGACAAGAGAAATCTCTACTTCATCAATAATAGTAAATGTAACTACATCTTCACCACAACAATTAATCCAAAATGAGTGAAGAATAAATTGGGAAAGAATACAACACTGTTTAAAATATATAGCTTTATAATTACAATTCCCTAGAAAAAAATAACCTGCTCAAAATTTAAAAAAAATAGTAACTTTTGCTGTCTTAAAATCCCTGGGCATTGATAGCACATGCCTTTATTTCCAGCACTTGAGAGATGGAGTCTGGAGTGTATCTGTGAGTTCTGGTATACAGAGCAAGTTACAGGACAGGCTCCAAAGCAATAACAGAGAAACCCTGTCTCGAAAAACTAAAAAAAGAAAAAAAATAGGGACCCCTATTTAACCCAAAGATTATATTAATAAATCTTCAATTTATATTCTTTCATAGGTTCTCCCCCAGAATATATTCTAAGACGTACACTTACACATGTGTGCACACACAAACACTAACATAGTACACATACCCACATACTTAAAATCTAGTATGAAGACTAGACAAAACAGTATCACACTTGTCTCTCTGGGTCAGTGATATATCACCTGGAATAAAATATCCAGGTCTATTAGACTAAGTAGAAACTGATACATAGAAACATAAAAAGTGCACATATTAATAGTCTACCAAGTGATTTGTATATTCAGTATGTAACGTTTGAGTCAAGTTAAGGATTGTTTCTCATATGCTTATCATTTTTATAGTGAAAATTCCCTAATCTCTTAGTTGCCTCTTTTTGAAATTAAAATTGCATTGTTATCTATGGCTATCCTAATATGCAATAGCAGAACAGAACGTTTTCCTCCTGCCTTCTGTAACTTAGCACATACTAATCCACCATTCCCCAGAGAAAATCAAAAGTGCTTTCATCTTTGCATAGTCCTTCCTAATCTGCACTATACACTGAGAAGTTACAGGTGCTCAGCTGTATTTCAATCTTGTAACAGTTTAAACTGTCTCGGTTTCTGACACGTGTTTCTCCTCCACTTAGGAAAGTCGATATATGGATGCTCTGAACAATCCTCAAAGCACTCTCACGCTAGTGCGTGTTTATTGAAACAATTAGTGCAATGTTTGTCATTTGTGTCTTAGCCCACGTGACACAGAGAGTATCCCAGGTACTTTTCTCACTGCAGTGACAAATACTTTACAAAAGCAACTAACAAGAGAAAGGGAGTATGTGGTTCATTGTGGCGAAGAAGTAATGGTTGGCAGTAGCTTATGGCATCCACAGTTGAGAAGCTGAGTGAGAGAACAATGCTGACAGCTGGCTTTCTCTTTAATAAACTATCCAGAACCCTGGTCCATGTAATAGTGCTGTTTAAACCCAGGTGGACTTGCCTACTTCAATTAACCTCACCTAGATATTCCTTCAGACATGCCCAGAGGTTTACCTCTGAGGTGAATTTAGTTCCCATCAAGTTGGCAGTCAACTTGAGATACAATCTGCCATCTGCTATGCCAGCTCCAGGCACACTGTCTGAATTAAGATTTTAACTTCCTATTTGTATGATACAAATCTACATGGACCATGAATCAAGTTAGATGACTTAGGATTATGAAGCTCCAAAGCTTGTGATTTCTATATTTATGAATATGAACTTAAATCATTATATAAAAATCTTAATCATGATAGTCTGATTTAAAAAAAAACATTGTGTTACAGAACATTTTTTGTTTCTATTTTTTTTCTGTTTGCTAGTTTGAACTTAAAATTGAAACGTGCTTAGCTTTTCCAAA